GTTGTTTAGGATTAATGATAAGGGGAAAAGTCAAAATAGAAAATTTTGAAGTGTTTAAATAATATACAACACTTTTATTTTAATGTCTAATCAAAATAAGACAAATAAAAATTGGATTTACAATAATTTGTAAAAAATTGATTAAAAAATGGGTTGCTGTTATTTTAATACCTCATAATTTTCTGTGATTCTCTCTATAAATCGTGCAGGGAGAACTAAAATGATTGTTACAACCTATACAACTCTTATTTTAAGGAAGTTCTATTTGGCAATTAAATTAACAGACGGTATTCAATAAAAGTGATAGTGTGTAGCTAGATGTCAAATTTGACTGAAACTTAAAATGTAATTTATAAATTTTTTTACAAAACACATCTTTTGTTGTCTAATTCCGTTACAAATATTATATACACTGCACGATTGGAGAAGCGCCATATGTGGGTGTCATTAGCGACAGAATTTTTTTTTTGCCAGGAAATATGAATACGTAAGCCGAGGTGGAGAGCGATTACGTAAAGTGTGCCGGCGTTTAGTCCGACTAATTGCGTATATGATCCCGAGAAATGAGGGTGACAGTCGCATGTGACGAGCCTTTGACACGCGACACCGACTTATTAGTAACACACACGGGAACATATGTCACCTTCCCCTTTTGTTATTTCAATTTTTCCACTAAATTCCTACACACATTCGGTGTTGGACAATTTTTCCTCGCAAATATATAGAAAAAAAACCTCTGGACTCATTTTTATTGATGCGCATCAAAATTGAACCTCGCAGTTATATTCGAACTGTATAAAACATTTTATTCGAACTTTTTCGTCAGTTTAAACTCAAAATAACATTTTTTACACTTGTCGCTACAAAAATCTCACATAATATTTAAATATTATTTAAAATATTATTTAAATAGTATATCCACATTTGATCGTCGCCCCGATCTGGCCCAGGTCGGGCCGTGTGTTTCATTCCCTAATATGGCCATAGTAGGGAAATTTCTACACGGGTATTTCAAACATTAACATCACACTGAGAAAAAATTGTATTTAATTCAAATAGAAAAATAATTTTAAGTGATTTAGTTTAATTGAAATTAGTTTGTAATCTTAATCCCATTATATAGAAAATATCTACTGCTTTGATTCAGAAATATTAATTGTTTCAATAAATATGTTTGATTCAAACATATTTTCTATTTTAATTTAAACAAATATTATGATTGATTCAAAGTTAATAATAAATAATTTATAATCAACCATAGCTTATGTTTGAATTAAATATATTATTTCTGTAAATAAACCAAAAAATATGTTTCAATGAAACTTAAATATATATATTTGACTGCATAGCAAAGATATTTTAAATTTGATTTAAACAAAATTTGTTTGCATCACATAAATCGTGTTCCGAGTGCATCATCGTCACCATCATTATCATCGAAATCTTAATGAACAAATGATTTGTAAATTTCATTATTGAATCGTCCAACTGCAAATGAATAAAATTGTAACTATATAAATTTAAATTGATTGATTTATCAGTGACAATTGCTATGTTTATTAATCATTGTGAACGTAATAATATTGAACTCCATCTCCTAAGTATATGTGAATTAGTGTTTTAAAATTCTCGGTAAAATTGAAACCAGAGAAGGTAAGAAAGAAAATTGTGGTAAATTACCAAAGAAAAGAGAATTTATGAGAATATACGAGAATATTCATTTAAATGATTAATAACTGACTTTTTAATTTAAATGTGTATTTTTTTAGTATGTATAGGTTAAAAATAAAGGATAGAAGTGTTATTATATATGCACAGGAAAAAAAAAGTCTGACTCTGTTTACACCTTAAATTCAGCCCATGTATTTCACATAAGTCTGTCCTTGTTTAACGGGGCTGACTCCGTTTACATCATAAATTCAGCCTCAAAAAGAGGCTGAAAGTAAAACTTTTTTTTTAGTGTGTGAAATTACATAATTTATTAATCATTATATAAGCTTCACGTAAGCTTCTCCACAATAGACACACTTGTATGCATAGTATCTCCAACTGGATTTATTTGTGTAAAAACTTCCAAACCACACTTTTTGGGCAAGGCATTTAACCGATGTTAATTAATTTGACTTTAATTAAACACATTAATTCGTAAATGATTAACCTCCCTTAGACCTAAGCAGAATAAAACGGGAATCTGTCTCAAGCATGAGATAAAAAAGGACAGAAATATTGTCTATCTTTTCTTATTTCCCTTTTTATTCTGCTTAGGCCTTTTGTTGTACGTCATATCAGCCATGAAATAACGCCATATTAACCCTCCTACGGTTTTATCATTTTTCCACTTTCAGGAAAAAAAATTATAATTTTGTTAAAATTAATTTTGACTATTTCATATTTATTTTGATATTAAATACAACTATTTAGCTTCAAGTTACACTTAGAGTGTTATTTATATGACTCTCGAATTTAATTTTTTAAATAAATAAATGAAAGATACACCCCGAGTATATACTCGGGGTTAACCGTAGGGAGGTTAATTAAAGTCAAATTAATTAACATCGGTTAAATGCCTTGCCCAAAAAGTGTGGTTTGGAAGTTTTTTACACAAATAAATCCAGTTGGAGATACTATATCACATACAAGTGTGTCTATTGTGGAGAAGCTTATACGTGAAGCTTATATAATAATGATTAATAAATTATGTAATAACCACAATTTTCTTTCTTACCTTCTCTGGTTTCAATTTTACCGAGAATTTTAAAACACTATAGAAGCGAGTGCTTCTGGTTGGGGGCAGGCACGAAAAAAAATGTGAAAGATAAATTAATATTATATTTTCAAAAGAATTTTTCTGTTGGTACAAAATTAATTTTATGTTTCTAAAATTCTAAACATTCTAATGAACACAATTTCATTATTTCTTCAAATTATTACAATTTTGTAATAACATTTTGGCACGTATTAAAAAAGAAATTACAAAATTATTATTTTATTTTTGTTTTTAATGTTTATTAAAATAATTTTTGAAAATAATTATATCAGCAAAAGATTTCGTTCATTTCAATATTCAGAGCTTGTGGATAATAAATTTATAAAGTATAAAAAGTTTTCTTGATAATTTTTTTTCTCATTTTATATTGCAATAACAATAAAATTACTCGTTAAATTGTCATTGAACTCGAAATTTTCTTATTTACAGACAGAGAATTCTTTTACTCCCGCTGTAATAGAGGGCGTGTGTGAAAATCAACCAAAGCATAAATGTTTGACTTTCTGCTGCGTAATCGCAGAGGGAAGTACGTACTTTCGACCGAGGTATGAAGAAAAGAAGTTTTTTTTCAATGTGTAAGTAATAGTTCTGACACTCGGCAAGGCCACAAGTCATTTAAGAAGAAGAAGAAGAAGAAGAATGTGTAAGTATAGAAATAATATTATTTCCAAAGTAAGTTTAAGTGTTTTAATGGAGGTGGTTCAATGTAAACACAGGACCTTCAAAATAAAACTATAGTGTGTTCAGGTTAGGAAAAAATTAATTTTTATTATTTAATGCATAATAATTTGTCTTTGACCTTGGCATATATTTTGTTTCATTTCGATTTTTCTATTTTTTCCCTTTAAAAAAAAATTCTGTTTGTGACTCTTTTGTTGATACAAAATATTTTAAGCCTTTTCTCTGTATTCGACAGCACTTTAGAAACAAGGCCACATGACATCTTAACTTGAATAAAATGTCCAACACATTTATCTAAAAAGCTTGATTCTCAAACATAAAAGTTGTTCCACTTTTTCTCGTCACTCGTCCCTTTTTAGTTTTTTTTTGCTTCTGAGGCGAGGCACTTTTAGGAAAAATAGGAGCGAACTGCGAAATCATACTTTGTTTCAAGCTCTTTTTTTTGCTAAAAAGCTAGACCAGATGATGGAGTAAAACCACGAAGGGAGTGTGTCCTCGAGGAGTGCGCTTTTGTGAGTGCCGCCACGACAGCGAAGTCGACGACGACGTCAACTCCATTGTCTCCATTGTTGGTGAATTGTAATCAATATTTTCACAATATGCTACCATTGTCCGGGGCACGAGCGAAACGCGAGGACACTTCACTACCAACCGTGATTTCTCTCACCCCCACTCGAATTCGTGCTTCTTGAAATTTTTATAAAGTGAAATCAAAATCTCCCCCTATGTCGAGGTCAAAAAGTTTGTGGAAAATTTACATATAGTAATTCATTTTAACTGATTTTTATTTTAACTATTGGTTTTGTTACTTTTCAGATTTATTCATTAATTCTATGAAACCAGTAATCAAAAAATATTGTAACACTGGGTTTTACTTATTCGCGTTACATCCATCCAATGTGGAAATTAACAGATACGTCGTCTGCTTTTATAGGTTAACGAAAAAAAATTCATTCATTAAAGAACAAATAATTATTACCTTAAACATTGACAGATGACACAAACGTGAAAATACTTTTAGGGAAAAGAATTTGGCATTGTTTTTTAAAAAAAGATCTTTGGATTATTAAATATGCATTCGAATGCATTTGATATTAGTATTCCCGCAATGCATTAGAGGAAAAGAAAATTTTCCACTTACCAACGGTGGACTTGAACAAAACGTCACAGCAAATGTCACGGCACAAATGATAGCTTGGTGGCCAAAAGACAAATCAATTATAATTCATTTGCCTACAAAAAAGTTCACCGTCGGTAAGAAGGAAATTTTTTTTTCCTTTATAACGTATTGGTCCGAGTACTGTCAAACGGATTCAGAGTGAATGGTGAATATTTAATAATCCAAAGAATTGTTTTTAAAAAACTGACAGATTCTTTTCCCTAAAAGTGTTTTCACCTTTGTATTATTCTTGCAATTACTAAAGTAATAATTATTTATGCTTTAGTCAGAAATGGATTTTTATTAATTTAAACAGTGAAAACAGACGCTATTTTTGCCCATGGGAAAAAATTAACGCCATCTTCATAAAATTCGAACAAGTAAATGACGTACGTTTAACTCACTGTCGTCTGCTACCTATCTGAAATCGACACTTGTCGACACTTTTGTGTGCATTTAAAATTGAACTCAACTTTACAACGTTGTAAATGATTGAATTAAATCATTTGGAATAAAAAATATCGTAAGTGACACGGAAACAAAGGCAGCCCAATTTTGCAATATATATGCGATGATGTTTGTGACACGAGTAAAGGTGACGCTCGTCGAATCCAGGTGAATTATATTTGATTTCTTTTTTGTTTCAGGTATAAAACTAAATGGCAACTTCGATTTTCGATTGCAAGAAAAATATGAATATATAGTGTGTTCGAATTACTTAAAATCACGAGTGTAAATAGTCTCCAGTATACAAAACATTTAAAAAGTGTAAAAGGAATACAAAAAGAAGGAAGAAGATTCAACATTTTTGAGTGAGTACTTTTAATGTAATAATTTATTTTTTTATAAATTTAGCATATTTGAAATATTAAAATTATGATCTTTCGCTCATAATATTTACTGTCCCCTTTGCGGAAATAAATCCTTTTTTTTAAAAAGTGACCATTTTTCAAAAAACTGCCCTATTTTAATAAAATTAATCATGTGGATTTAATTAAACATCAAGACCAGTTTCTTTTCTCAAGCAGGGTTGCCACAGGTCAGGGAATTCAGGGAAAAGTCAGGTAAAGTAAAAGTGGTCAGGAATAGTCAGAAAAAAGTTAGGTAATGTAATCTTTTTCGAAAGGACTTAGTTATTTTCAAAAATGCTAGAAAATTTGGATTTTAAATAATTTTAATTATACATATGTTGAAAATAATTTTGAAAAATTTACAGTACCAATTCTTATAAATTATTATTGAATTTCAAAAAGTTTGAAATTTTTGAAAATCTTAATTCTTTTGGAAATAAATAATAATAATTAAATATTTATCTAAAAAAAGGCTATTGATGTTTTAATAATTTTACAACTAAAGATATTTACAAAATAAATAAATTGGAAACATTTTTTTTTTAAATAAACCTTTTTTTTCAAAGTCTGCTTTTTTTAACAAAATTAATAATTCGGGTCTGATTAGCATAAAGAAATTCTCTCTAATTAGTAAAAAATTAGTAAAAAAATTTACTAATTTCAATTAGTGACTGATTTTTTGCTCTTGAATTAGTAAATTTTACTAATATAAATAGTAATTTCTACTCAATTATTAGTAAAATTTACTAGTTCAAAAGTAAAAAGTCAATTACTAATTCAAATTAGTAAACATTTTTACTATGTAATTCAAATTTAGAGAGTATAAAATATTTTTTCCTTGAAAAAAGAAAATGATCTTGATATGCTGAATTACATCAAAAAATTTGTCTAGAGAAAAATATTCTTATCATTTGTTTAAATTTTTAAAAATAAATTCTCAAACTTTTTTAATAATATTATTTAATTTATAAATGTCAGATGGTAAAATAAAAAATTTTAAAACTACTAAATTAAATAGTAATATATTTTAATAAAAAATAGTAGAAATTTTCATTATTTTAATTAGTCAACGACTTTTTTTCTAATTCAAAGGTAGAGAGTTCTTTTGACTAGAAATTTATAGAAAGAATATAAAAGAATATTTATAGAAATTTATAGAAAGAAATCACGTTAAAAATGTTTATGAAATTCTCAAAATACTTGCACACTCAATTATCATAGTTTTCAAATATTTCTCCCCTCATAACGTTTTGTTCACAAAATATTTTTAAGTATAGGGTTGTAAAAATTTCCATCGTAAAATTTTTAAAAACTAGTCTGCTTATATAATATACAATTCTTGTTTTTCTCTAAAGGATCATAAAAAGTTTTTCTTTTTTTTACGTAAACGATGAAAGTTATAGTGACCTACTGACAAGGTATGTTTTTCATTTTGCTCACATTGATCAATTGTTGTTGAGACTATATATATATATACATATATTTTCTGAAAAGAATTTAAGCAACTTCCCTATGGGTGTGTTTGACTTGTCTGAAATCACCCTCGATGTGCATTTTCTCAGCAAAAGGTAGAACCCGTTAAAAAAAGAGATATTCCTCGAAACTTGTAAGTCGTAACTACACATTTATGGCAAGAGAAATCTTCACAGCAGCCGTGGTATGTGTATCTATTAGAGAATGAAAAAAATGCTATAGAGACTAGGGTTTTTGGTTCAATCTTTCGAATGCCATACCTGCTCTTTATAGCACGTGTTTCTTTTACAATTCGTGTATAAAGAGGGAAATTGCTCGTTCATCTTTTATTTATATTTATTTCTTTTTTATTGTTAAAATTTTTAAAAGAATTTTCCATTTTTTTCGTGATTCGCCATATAAGTAAATTTGTAAATAAAGAGAATGAATAATAATAAAAAATACAGTAGTTTTTCGTTTTTCAAAAAAGTCATAAACTATAACTTGGAAAGTTTAAAAACGATGGGGTTGTACGGGTCATACTTTTTTTTGTATTTAGACAAACATTTTCCTTTATACATGAATCCTTGAGTTTTTGTTACTTTTTGTATTTCGTGGTTTTTCGTGTTTTCTCAATTGCTTTGAAAATTGAATTTCTTTAAAGTTATAAAGTTTTATGAAGTTGGAAATTTTTTAATAGAAACTTATTAGACTTTGAAAATATTCAAGACAATTGATTTTCTAAAAATTCCCAACATTCCTGAAACCATTATTATTTGATAGTTTCGAAAAGTTTTATTTAAAATTCTGAAAGATGTAAAATTAAATAATATAAAAAATGTAAAATAATAAAAATATAATAAAGTAATAAAAAAATAATAAAAAAAATATAAAATGTAAAAATTTAAAATAAAAAATATAAAAATATAAAAAAGTATAAAGTAATATTAAAATGTTTCACTTCTATTTTCTAAAGATAATTAAATGTTTTAAAAAAGTAATTTTTTGAATTGTAAGTATAGAGTGATTATTTTTGAAGTAATTGAAATTTTGACAATATAATTGAATATACAGAGTGTGACACGTTTTTTGGAAAATAAATGAATATTGTTGTTTTCTGCATTTAAAATGTTTAAGACATTAATGACATAAACTTTTTTTCTAAATACATAAAAAAATTGACCTCTTAATATCTGATAACTGACATGGCATATTTTTATGAAAAGAATGTCATGATGGATTTTTCTATTCTACCATTGTAGATACCTTTATGTGACAACCAATTGATAAATTGAATAATGAAGAGTGTTCTGAGGGTATTTACATTTGTTTGATGATTGTGTATTTGTACAAAAAAAGAAAAAAATTTAAACGTTAGAGAAAATCAGGAAGAAAATAAATTTTAATTTTAATTGACAGTTATTCAATTTTAGATTGGATAATTTGGCAAATATTTATTTTACATTTTTATAATTTTTAATTAAATTATACTTATCTTGTTTAAAAGAAAAATTTATTTTTAATGTCTAAGAAACTGATTTCTTTAAATTAACAATACAGATTTTTCTGGGCGTGAAGTATAATATACAAAAGTTGAAAAAATAAATAATAATGATAATGTAATAATAATTTAAAAATGAATTTTGATAAATAACTTGGTCTGTTAAAAATAATGCAAAAGAAAGAAGAATAAGAATAATTTTTCTTTTAAATTTGCGAATTAAAAATTTATTTCTTTGATTCAAATAAAAGATTTCTTAAAACTAAAGAAATATTTCCTTTAGTCGACTAACAGAAGTAAAGAAACAATTTTCTTAAATCAAAGTAATTTTTTTTTCACTCTATTAATGCAGAAATTTCATCAATTCAAACAAAATTTCTTTGAAACAAAAAAACTCTTTTCTTGGGAATAGTAGGGTAATATTTAATTGACATAATTAGCCTATTGTACACATTATTCTAATACACGATCTAATGATGTAATATTCAAAATACACATTATATACATTGTAATATTTGTAACACTCATAATTTAAAATTAAAATATTTAATAATAATTCCCTATTACTGCTTTAAATCATTTTAATACTTTCTCAAATACTTTATAATGCTTCAAAAAAGTGATATAAAGGAGAAAAAAAATATGTTTTTCTGAAAATTGTTTTAAATAAATAATTTAAATATATATAGATATATATAGTTCTCGCAACAATTTTATTTGACCATTATAAATAAGGCATACATAAATCATAAAAACTAAGTCTTGAAAATTATTTAAGTCTATGAAATTTTCTAAAAAAAGTATTTCTCAACATTTATGTTCTCATATATAATATGTGTTTAAAAAATTGTTTGTCAGTCGATAAAGAAATGAGTATATTAATAGAATATTTTTAAATATAACGGACTCGTAAAACATATTATACTTTGAACCACTTTTGTAATTTGTAAATATTTTTTTGTATCTAAACTGGAAATTTTCTTGTATAATTTCATATTTTTGTTTGCTGTGAAAACATTTGCTGACATAACGGCGTTTTGTGATAAAAGAGAAAACGAACTAAAAAGTTTATGTTTGAGAAATTTCACCATAAGTTGTTTACATATATTTAGAGTTAAAATTAAATATTTTCATATGTTGTATTGTAAAACATTTAGATGAGAAAATTTAAACACGGTAAGAAAAAAAAGTCGAACAAATTTTGGTTTAATCAACTAAATTTTAATTAAAGCAACAAAATTTTGATTAACCCCCCTTTCACCCAAAAAGTATTATATATTTTTCGAATGGCCCCCAAACTTTAATTTTTGTTGCAATTGAACTCAAAATTTATTAAACTGATTCCAATGTTTTTTTAAATCAACTAAATATCAAGGTTAAATATGCGTTTGGCACAGGTCAGGGAAATCAGGGAAATAAACAGGAAATTTTATGAAAAGTTCTGGAAAAATATAACTAATGTTTAGAATAATTATACTATTTTTTTTAAATAATTGAAATTTACTAAAATTCCATTAAAAAGAATTGAATGTATTAATGTATTAATCGAGGGAATTTTGACACATTAATTTTTGAAATTTTTTCTCTTGTATTTTTTAAATATAATTGAATTTCTTTAAGCAAGTAATTAAAATTTTTCTAAATAACTAAAATTTTCTATAAAATTCCAATAAAAATAATTAAATTTTTTTTTAATGCATTTTATTGAAGTTTTTTCAAAAGTAATAGAGGGAAGTTTCTCATAATTATTTAAAATATTTCTGTTCTATTTTTTAAAGATAATTGAATTTCTATAAATAAGTAATTGAAATTGTTTTAAATAATTTAAATTTTCTAAAATTCCTTTGAAGGTAATTGAATGTTTTGAAGAATTTGATTGAAGTTCTTGCAAAATAAGTAATAGGGGGAAGTTTCTCATAATTCTTTAAAATATTTCGGTTCTATTTTTTAAAGATAATTGAATTTCTATAAGCAAGTAATTGAAATTCTTTAAAATAATTAAAATTTC